GTGACAGCTGGTGACCCCCGGGGCAGCGAGAGGGGGTCACACCCCAGGTGACAGCTGATGACCCCCGGGACAGTGAGAGGGGTCACACCCCAGGTGACAGCTGGTGACCCCCGGGGCAGCGAGAGGGGTCACACCCCAGGTGACAGCTGGTGACCCCCGGGGCAGCGAGAGGGGTCACACCCCAGGTGACAGCTGGTGACCCCCGGGGCAGCGAGAGGGGGTCACACCCCAGGTGACAGCTGATGACCCCCGGGACAGTGAGAGGGGTCACACCCCAGGTGACAGTTGGTGACCCCCGGGGCAGCGAGAGGGGTCACACCCCAGGTGACAGCTGGTGACCCCCGGGGCAGCGAGAGGGGGTCACAAGAATAACAACATATGCAGCGGTGTAGGGAGAAAGGGGAAATAAAATTGCAGAGGACAATTGATCGTTTATTGGATCTGTCAGTTGAGTGCGTCAATTACAGCTCTCGGGGAAGGTGAATGGTGGAACACAGTAGTGGCATGACCCCGCCACACGCTCTCTGGCCCGCCCCTCTTCCACCCAAGTACACTAACAAATATCAATTTGTGCTGAATGACTTTGAAAAGAATATGAATATATATATATATATATATATATATATATATATATATATATATATATATATATATATATATATATATATATATATATATATATATATATGTATATATATATATATATATATATGTATATTACTATATTGTACATATTTATGCACTGGATAGGTGTTTAGGTTCTGGTGGCGATTATTTGCATTTGTTGTACGTGGGTGAAGCATTTCAACCCGTCCTCGACTCACAACTCATTTCGTTCGAACACTTCCGGAACAAGTGCTTCACTGACGAATTTTGTTCGAATCACAACGCTATAAATGCTTCACCCACGTACTACAAATACAAATAATCGCCAACAGAACCTAAACACTTAACCTAACCTATCCTATGCCTATATATATGTGCACAATATGCTAATATATTATAATATTATTTTATATTTGAGAAAATTCCCGTTTTGAATGAACAGCATGTTAAAATTTATGAATGCGTCTGTGGGGTCGACCGCTGGATGTAATGGATTTGAGTCGAGGACGGGTTGTAGACTTACCTGACCCAGGAGCGGCAAGTAGCACGGGCTATGGTGAGCCCGTAGCGGACTAACCTTCCAAAGGAGCGGGGCTGTAACTTGTGTGTGGGCGGCTAACAGTCTCCCAGGATTTAAAAGTCAGTTTGTATGATGAATTAATGATATACGAAGGTGATGGTTTTCTTGCCTGATTTTGGATACGTATTTCACCTTCTTCGTTGAGCAATGTTGAGAATGTCAGGTGTAGGGAGCCGGTCGGCCGAGCTGACAGCACGCTGGACTTGTGATCCTGTGGTCCTGGGGGTGGAGGCCTGGTCGAGGACCGGGCCGCGGGGACACTAAAAAAGCTCCGAAATCATCTCAAGATAACCTCAAGAAGATTACCCAATGAGCGTGTTGATGTAACTTATATCTAGTCATTTATAGTGACTTACCTGTGATGTATATTTTCATATTTATAGAGTGGAACTGGTTGCTAGAGTAATATCGCCGGATACTGACTCGAGGGAAAGTTAGTGCTTGTCAACTCTATATTATTTATCTAGTTGACATCCATATATTATTCATTTCCCCGTATTTCTTGCATTTTCGCACCTATTTATTGATTAGTCTGATCAGTGGTTATGGTTGATTTCATCTGTTGTTCTGCTCATCCCTGACACCCTTGTAGATGTATGTATATTATATAAATATTGTTTGGCTGTTATTCTTCAGTAAGGGTGGTGACTAAGCCACTGAAGCACACCTCAATTCTTTTCTGAGTGACTGTGGGATAACAGCTGAATAACCAGAACATAAATTATAGTCTCATCTAACTACTAAAGTGTACTATAGCTCTGCCTTTCCTTTCAAAAGGTTTTTTTTTTAAATTATCATCTTTGTTATTGTCTTGTTTTCTTGTTTTTTACTCTATTTTATATAACTACTCCATACTCCCTTGTTCCATTGTACACTGGCTTTGCCTGTGTCCTCTAGTATAAACTTTATCATTCTGTGTACCTGAGTGTATTTCTAAGTGATCCATTCTTGTTGTAGTGTAACTTTAGTAATTAACTATAGTGTAATTATATTATTAAAGTAAGCTATTGTTTTACAGAATTATCAATTGTTATTTGCTGTTACTGTCTCATTTCAGTGATCTTCATTTTATATTATTTGTTTCTATTATGTATATATTTGCATATTTTCTCTCTTATTTTCTCTGTTTACCATAATTATTTTATACTAGCTGTACCCGGCCACGCGTTGCTGTGGCTCAGCAACCTTCTCCTGTCTCCCAGTCCTCCCCACCACCCCCCTCACTCGTCCTCCCCACCATCTCCCACTCCCCCGTCCCCTTGTCCTCCCTAACATTCCCCACTCCACTGTTCCCTCGTCCTTCTAACCATTACCCACTCCTCCGTCCTCTCATCATCCCACTCCCATGTCCCCTCGTCCACCCTACCATTTCCCCCTTCTCCCATCCCCTCGTCCACCCTACCATCCCCCACACCCCTGTCCCCCTTGTCCTCCCCACCATTCTCCATTCCCCTGTTCCCTCGTCCCACCTACCCTTCTCCCCAGTCCCCTCGTCCTCCCCACCATTACCCCCTCCTGTCCCCTCGTCCTCCCCACTATCCCTCGCGCCCGTCCCGTCGTCCTCCCCACCATTCCCCACTCCCTCGTCAGATGCATTTCCAAATGATCTGATGTTCCCATCAGAAAATTGGGAACATGAAATGATTTGATGTTCCCATCAGAAAATTGGGAATATCAAATGATCTGATGTTCCCAGCACTGAAATATAAGACAAACAGTTTAAAAAAACGAAATGAAAACAATGAAAAATTTAAAAATAATCTATACTCACGAAATAAACGGTTTGTTAAACATCACTGCTCAATTCCAACACAATGTCACACAAAATAATTATATAAAACGAAAATAAATCGAAATCTAAAAAAAAAAAATTGTCAATGCAATCAGAAACATTGAAATGGAATCGTAACATATTTAGTGTAGCGTGTGTTGCTCTTACGTGCAACAGATTGCACTTTTTTTTTTTTAAAGCATGGTTTTACCTGTCACAAGTGTGGCATTTATACTTATACTCACAAAATGAACAGTATGGTAAACAACACATCTAAATTCCAATGCAAAGTCACACAAAATAATAGAATCAAAAAGCAAATAACTCGAAATATATGAAAATTAAATTTGTCAATGCAATTAGAAACATTGAAGTGGAATCGTAACATATTTAGAATAGCGTGTGTTGGTCTTACAAGCAACAGATGGCACTGTTTCTTAAGAAAAAGAATGCTTTTACCTGTCACAGGTGTGTCATCTATACTTATACTTATGAAAGGAATGGTATGGTAATAAACACAGCTGAATTCTAACGTAATGTCACACAAAATAGTTAAATCAAAATTAAAATAAATCGAAATCTATGAAAATTCAATTTATCAATGCAATCGGGAACACTGAAATGGAATCGTAACATATTTAGTATTGGGTATATTGCTGTTATGTGCAACAGATGGCGCTTTAAAAAAAAAGCATGTTTTTATCTGTGACAGGTGTGGCATCTATATAGTACATATATAAAAACATGTGCGTATTCAAATGGAACGTTGTATCAAAATTTCAAATCATTCGGTGTAGAACTTTCGGAGATTACAGCGTGTGTTGCTCTTACATCCAACAGATATTGCTGTTTTTAAAAACCAACTAGCTTTTTCCTGTCACAGGTGAGGCATGTATATAGTAGGTATATAAAAACACGCGCCTATTCGAATGCAACGTTGTGTAAAAATTTCAAAGCAATCGGTAAAGAGGTTTCGAGGATTTCCCTCACATGAAAAACACATGAACACTCTCAAATGAAAAATCTATATAGTTTGTATACAAAAACCCGCTCGGATACGAATGGAAAGTTGTGTGAAAATTTCAAAGCAATCGGCGAAGAACTTTCGGAGATCAGCGATTTTGAAGAAACGAACATTTACATTTTTATTTATATAGATTTCTAGCAGATTTAGTATTTTACTGCTCTGTACTTGCTTTCCTTATTGTACCTTGACTCCATTTCATCCACATGCAAGATGATATTGATCCTGAACAAAATCTACTCTCTCAAATATACAATAACAACACACTGATCATCACCACTGCTGGTACTACACAGCACACCGGGCAAAAAACAAACTCCGAAATAACACTTGCTTATCAGTTTTCAACCAAAACGCCAGATCACTTGGTAAACATTTTGATGATATAAATGCACTACTCATAGCACTAGGTACTGAACTATCGTTCATTATTTTAACAGGAACCTGGCTAAGTAAAGATCATATATAACTATTCAACTTAGCTGGTTATAGAGCCATTCACAACTGTAGGCCTAACAAAAAAGTAGGTGGCACAGCTATATACTACCAAGATACCTTCACCTGCAACAGTGTCATTAGTGATAGAGATGACTACTGTGAATATATTTTTGCTCAATTTTCAGTTAAATCCCTTAAATCCTCCTTGACTATTGGAGCCATCTATAGAGTTCCTAATACTAACATAGCTGTATTCTCAGATAACTTGAGAACTCTTATCATAAACAACAACCTCAACAAAAATCCCATAGTTCTGGGAGGTGACTTTAATATTGACCTAGGGGCAACAAGGTAGCCCTCAAGTCGACTATTTCCTTAATAGCATGATTCCTGTATGCTCATCCCTGCAATCATCAGGCCCACCCGATTCACTCAAACATCTGCTACTACCCTGGATCACTTATGGACCAACATAACAGCTCCCCTTACATCAGGTATAATCACTGACTGACCACTATCCTACCTTCCTCGTAGTGAACATGGCCATAACACCAACAGCTAACAAGAAAATTACCTTTAAGTTACACACAGCGTCTCCGGGGCCTGGGCGTCCCCAGCGTCTCCGGGGCCTGGGCGTCCATAGCGTCTCCAGGACCTGGGCGTCCCCAGCGTCTCCGGGGCCTGGGAGTCCCCAGCGTCTCCGGGACCTGGGCGTCCCCAGCGTCTCGGGGCTTGGGCGTCCCCAGCGTCTCCGGGACCTGGGCGTCCCAGCGTCTCCGGGACCTGGGCGTCCCCAGCGTCTCCGGGGCCTGGGCGTCCCCAGCGTCTCCGGGGCCTGGGCGTCCCCAGCGTCTCCGGGGCCTGGGCGTCCCTAGCGTCTCCAGGACCTGGGCGTCCCCAGCGTCTCCGGGGCCTGGGCGTCCCCAGCGTCTCCGGGGCCTGGGCGTCCCCAGCGTCTCCGGGGCCTGGGCGTCCCTAGCGTCTCCAGGACCTGGGCGTCCCCAGCGTCTCCGGGGCCTGGGCGTCCCCCAGCGTCTCCGGGGCTGGGCGTCCCTAGCGTCTCCAGGACCTGGGCGTCCCCAGCGTCTCCGGGGCCTGGGCGTCCCCAGCGTCTCCGGGGCCTGGGCGTCCCCAGCTAAGCCAGCATATATCACGCTCAATTCCGACACCAATAATAACAAAACAGAAATGCTCTTTATTAAAAACCGGTCCGCCTGGCGTCATATTTTCTTGTTAGTGCGCACCCGCGCCTTACCCTGCTCTCCCACCTCTCCTCCTTCTCTCTCTCTCTCTCTCTCTCCTCTCTCTCTCTCTATCTCTCTCTCTCCTCTCTCTCTCTCTCTCTCTCTCTCTCTCTCCTCTCTCTCTCTCTCTCTCTCTCTCTCTCTCTTCTCTCTCTCTCTCTCTCTCTCTCTCTCTCTCTCTCTCTATCTCTCTCTCTCTCTCTCTCTCTCTCTCTCTATCTCTCTCTTCCTCTCTCTCTCTCTCTTCTCTCTCTCTCTCTCTCTCTCTCTCTCTCTCTCTCTCTCTCTCTCTCTCTCTCTCTCTCTCTCTCTCTCTCTCTCTCTCTCTCTCTCTCTCTCTTGTTATCATTCTGTTGCTCTTGTATCATCCTAGTGCAGCGTAGCGAGAGGGGTCACACCCCAGGGTGACAGCTGGTGACCCCCGGGGCAGTGAGAGGGGTCACACCAAGGGTGACAGCTGGTGACCCCCGGGGCAGTGAGAGGGGTCACACCCCGGGTGGACAGCTGGTGACCCCCGGGGCAGTGAGAGGGGTCACACCCCAGGTGACAGCTGGTGACCCCCGGGGCAGTGAGAGGGGTCACCACCAAGGGTGACAGCTGGTGACCCCGGGGCAGCGAGAGGGGTCACACCCCAGGTGACAGCTGGTGAACCCCGGGGCAGCGAGAGGGGTCACACCCCAGGTGACAGCTGGTGACCCCCGGGACAGTGAGAGGGGTCACACCCCAGGTGACAGCTGGTGACCCCCCGGGGCAATGAGAGGGGTCACACCCCAGGTGACAGCTGGTGACCCCCCGGGGCAGCGAGAGGGGTCACACCCCGGGTGACAGCTGGTGACCCCCCGGAGCAGCGAGAGGGGTCACACCCCAGGTGACAGCTGGTGACCCCCCGGGGCAGCGAGAGGGGTCACACCCCAGGTGACAGCTGGTGACCCCCGGGGCAGTGAGAGGGGTCGCACCCCAGGTGACAGCTGGTGACCCCCGGGGCAGCGAGAGGGGTCACACCCCAGGTGACAGCTGGTGACCCCCGGGGCAGTGAGAGGGGTCACACCCCGGGTGACAGCTGGTGACCCCCGGGGCAGCGAGAGGGGGTCACAAGAATAACAACATATGCAGCGGTGTAGGGAGAAAGGGGAAATAAAATTGCAGAGGACAATTGATCGTTTATTGGATCTGTCAGTTGAGTGCGTCAATTACAGCTCTCGGGGAAGGTGAATGGTGGAACACAGTAGTGGCATGACCCCGCCACACGCTCTCTGGCCCGCCCCTCTTCCACCCAAGTACACTAACAAATATCAATTTGTGCTGAATGACTTTGAAAAGAATATGAATATAATATATATATATATATATATATATATATATATATATATAATATATGTCGTACCTAGTAGCCAGAACGCACTTCCACACTGCAGTCTACACTAAGGAAACGAACATAGGAATGTGCCTCAATGCCAAAAGTGACTGCCCAGACAGGTACAAGAGGAGTGTCGTTAACGCTTATGTCGACCGTGCTCTCAGCCACAGCTCAGGATGGAAGCAAGTCAATGAAGAACTCTGTAGGGTAAGGCTGGTCATAGTCAACAACGGCTTCTCCAATGGTTTCGTTGAAGACATCATAAGAAGGAAAGTGAAACGCCATGCAACCTCTGAAGAGAGACAACTAACACAACACCTGTACCCCCTATTAGACTATTTTACAGAAACTTCTTTTCCACAGCTCATAAAACGGAGGAAAGGGTCCTGAAAGATATTGTTAATAGAAACGTTATCCCTACAGACAAAAATCAGAAGATACAATTGACGATCTACTATAAAACCAAGAAAACGGCCAACCTACTCATGAGAAACTCTCCAGACACAAAGCAGAACGCTTTAAAAGAGACCAATGTCGTCTATGCCTTCAAATGCCCACTTGGGGACTGTAAGCCTCAAAGAATTCAGTATATAGGCAAGACAACAACATCTCTTTCCAGGCGATTAACGGTGCATAAGCAACAGGGCTCCATTAAGGAATATATAATCTCTTCCCACAACCAGACCATCACCAGAGAAGTCTTAACAAAAAACACGGAAATCATCGATAGATACAGCGATAGCAGGCGGCTTGATATCTGCAAGGCACTACACATTAAGAAGTCGACACCAGCAAGCAACAGCCAATTAATGCACAACTATATTCTACCCACTTCAAGACTCCGCACCAATATAGAAGCATCAAGAAATATGGGCCAATAGGCCCTTTGCAGTTACTTCCATTCTTCCCTTTAACTTACAAAATATTATACCAATTGTTTCGTGTTCTGTCTTGTGTTGAAAGTTTGTTTTCATCTCATCCAAAACTGTTGTAACATATCACCTCACCCAAATGCAGGTATAAAATCGAAGCTGTTTGAACTCTGTTCAGTAATAGTTGTGTGTGTGTAAACTAAAGTCTTTGAAAATGTAATAAGTTTTACGAAACGCGTTCAAGTGTCGCGTCAGACTAGAAATAAAAATGAATTTTGGAGAATTGATTTTTCAGTTACCATCAACAGTGAAAAGAAATATAAGAAACAGAGAAAATTCGTGTTAGAATTATTATCTTACTTTTTCTGTCATATTAATATATATATATATATATATATATATATATATATATATATATATATATATATATATATATATATAATATATATATATATATATATATATATATATATATATATATATTTATATATTTTTTTTTTTTTTTTTTTTTTTTTTGAGATATATACAAGAGTTGTTACATTCTTGTACAGCCACTAGTACGCGTAGCGTTTCGGGCAAGTCCTTAATCCTATGGTCCTGGAATACGATCCCCTGCCGCGAAGAATCGTTTTTTCATCCAAGTACACATTTTACTGTTGCGTTAAACAGAGGCTACAGGTTAAGGAATTGCGCCCAGTAAATCCTCCCCGGCCAGGATACGAACCCATGACATAGCGCTCGCGGAACATATATATGTATTTATATATATATATATATATATATATATATGTATAGATATGGTATATATATATTATATATATATATATATATATTATATATATATAATATACTATATATATATATATATATATATATATATATATATATATATATATAACTGAAAACTCACACCCCAGAAGTGACTCGAACCCATACTCCCAGGAGCAACCAACTGGTATGTACAAGACGCCTTAATCCACTTGACCATCACGACCGGACATAATGAGGTGATAGCCGAGGCTATCACCAGTCGTGATGGTCAAGTGGATTAAGGCGTCTTGTACATACCAGTTGCGTTGCTCCTGGGAGTATGGGTTCGAGTCACTTCTGGGGTGTGAGTTTTCAGTTGCATATTGTCCTGGGGACCATTCAGGCTTGTTCACATTTGTGTTCCTCACGTGTGCCCAAAAGAATGAGGTGATTTGGTAAAATGCTATGCCCAAGATTACTATCCGAGTGCCGGCGGTGGGGTGGTTCAAATAGCCTCGGCTATCACCTCATTATGTCGGTCGTGATGGTCAAGTGGATTAAGGCGTCTTGTAATACCAGTTGCGTTGCTCCTGGGAGTATGGGTTCGAGTCACTTCTGGGGTGTGAGTTTTCAGTTGCATATTGTCCTGGGGACCATTCAGGCTTGTTCGCATATATATATTATATATATATATATATATATATATTATATATATATATAGTATATATATATATATATATATATATATATATATATATATTAAGATGAATAGGAAAACCAGGGATATACTGAACATCTTGTATCAGAATCTTTACTTTAAAAAACATAACGTTTCGAATACTTCTCGTATTCATCATCAGATCTAAAAGAAAAAACAGAAATCACAGTCAAATAACTGGTAAACAAAGAACTCATACTGAATATAATTGCCTATCAAAGAAAGGAAAATGCTTAAAAAACAAAACACTTAAGCGCACTTAAAGTGATCAATACAAATAAAACTTATTAACTGTCACATATATTAAAGCTAATTTAAAAATCCATTAACTACAAGATGAATTTTATAACTACTAAAACAAACCATTATATTAAACTTACGTGAAGTGATCAGAAGTGAAACTTGATACCTAACACATAGATACTAAACACTATAACAAATATTTATATAATGACTACAATCTACAAAAAAAATGTATGTAAAATATAAACAGAATAAACGACAATTATAAAGTACTAACCAAAATCTTATAAGAAACTCAAATATTAAATGAAATTAAATACCAAAAAAAGTATTATACATCCTAAATAAAAGATTATATTAATGTACAATGTTAAGACTTGAAATAAGTAGGAAAGGGCAAAGACATGGTAAACTAAACAAAATTAAACTACCAAAATAAACAAGTTTATTTTGGTAGTTTAATTTTGTTAATAAGTTAATAAGAATAAAATAAACAAGTTTATTTTGGTAGTTTAATTTTGTTTAGTTTACCATGACTTTGCCCTTTCTTACTTATTTCAAGTCTTAACATTGTACATTAATATAATCTTTTATTTAGGATATATATAATACATTTTTTGGTATTTAATTTTATTAATATTTGAGTTTTTTATAAGATTTGGTTAGTACTTATAATTGTCGTTTATTCTGTTGTATTTTACATACATTTCTTGTAGATTTGTAGACATTATATAAATATTTGTTATAGTGTTTAGTATCTATGTGTTAGGTATCAAGTTTCACTTCTGATCACTTCACGTAAGTTTAATGGAATGGTTTGTTTTAGTAGTTATAAATTTCATATTGTAGTTTAATGGATTTTAATTAGTTTTAATATATGTGACAGTTAATAAGTTTTATTTCTATTGATCATTTATATATATATATATATATATATATATATATATATAT